ATATATATATATAATTATAGCTAGGATTTTTGTTAGTAACTGGCAGGCGCCACAGTAGCACACATCCTCACAAGTGCATATGACCTCAATATTAGTGCACATGTCAAAACTCACTCCAATCATGCATGGGAAAACTAAGAGGGAACACTGCCTTCTTTCATTATTTGTACTGAATTACATTATTAGAATTTCTTAAGTACTTTTTAATACATAATTATAGCTAGGATTTTTGTTAGTAACTGGCAGGCGCCACAGTAGCACACATCCTCACAAGTGCATATGACCTCAATATTAGTGCACATGTCAAAACTCACTCCAATCATGCATGGGAAAACTAAGAGGGAACACTGCCTTCTTTCATTATTTGTACTGAATTACATTATTAGAATTTCTTAAGTACTTTTTAATACATTCTTATATACTACCATTATTAGCCACACTTAGAATTTCATACATTAAATATCTGATGTACCTCCTTGCATCTCATGTTAAAGGCAGTTTCCATTTTTCTTCTTGTTTCTGGAACACAGCACTTTTTTATGACAGAAAAATAGTGGGGATATTTTAATGTAACTTTATACTTGTTCTTTCCAGTCTTTTCTAAGCTATTAATAAATTCATCAGGAAGGGCTTCTGTGGAATATAAATTATTGACAACATTCAATAAAGGATGTTTTCAAGTAGAAATTCTTTTTTAAAATATCAGAACAATGATTAGTGAATCAAACAATATTTCATTTGTTTTATCACAGACCAATTAAATATAAGACCAACCGTCCATCTAGCCCAGAACCCTGACTTCTGAAAATGACCAACATCAAATGTTAAGAGGAAGTGAACAGAATGGGGCAATTTACAAGTGATCCATTTCCTGTCATCTGGTCCAAAGCTTATGGAAGTCAGAGGTTTAGTGACAACTAGAGCATGGGGTTACCTACTTTCCTGACCATCGTGGCTAATAGCTATTGACAGATGGATCTTTTGAACAGTTATACTTTTGGTCCTCACAACATCCCCAGTCAACAAGTTTCATAAGTGCATTGCATGAAAAAGTAATTACTTATGTTTGTTTAAAATTTGCTGCCTATTCACTTAATTGGGTGATTCCTGATTCTTGTCTTATCTGAAGTGGTGATGAATACTTCTTTATTCACTTGCTCAAAACACAATTTTTACAGATTATCCCCTCCTTAGTCATCTCTTTAATACATTCAGCAGTCCCAGTCTATTTAATCTCTACTCTTCTGCAAGATGATAATTTTTTGGCGCTTTTCTGTACCTTTTCTAACTTTATTACAAATTTTTGAGAGGGGGGTTTCACAAGGCTTACAGGAGCAGTCGACAAAGGCTTTCCTTGTCAACCGCACTGCGTCTAGACTACCGTGCTGTGCTGGATCAGCTGATTGTTGGCACAGCGCAGCGGCCATTTTTATTTTAATGAAGAGGGTTTTTTTTAAACCCCGCTTCATTGACTACTTTACATGGCTCCATCGGCAGCAAGGCATTTAGTGTGCACTAACTCTGCAGTTGCTGTGTTCTAGGTAAACCATCTCAATGACAAGCGTAGAGCTTGCTGTGGTCTGGATACAGCACTGGGGGGACAGTATGGACACTTGAATTGTTTGTTGCATTCTGACTGGCCTCTGGAAATGGCTCATAATCCCTCAAGTCCCCTCTGCTCTTTATTGGGAGCTCCTCTGTCTTGCAGGCACGAACACATCCCCATTCAGACCTCCATTTTGAACATTTTGCAGACTGCTGATTTGCTCCCCGACACAGAGCAAACCAGTTAGATGGAATGCTTGTGCTGTTGAACATAGAGGCAGACATGCTCATGTGTGTGAGAGAGACAGAGAGATGGATTGCTATGCAATGGAAGCTAAGATGTCAGGGTTTCCTCCTCCCCCTGCCTCAGGAGCCTTATGAGAGATTGTTTTGTGTCACAGTCTGAACTTAAAAGACAGCATGCTGATATCTCCCAAAATGTAGTCTCTACCCTACCCTGCACGCATGCACACACACACTCTCCCTGTTGCATTCCTCCCCCTTCTGTTGAAATGAAGCTGTCAATATAACAGGATGACCACAGAGCAGTGTTTCCCAAATGGGGTTCCACAAAATAAGAATAAGAGTTCTGTGAGAAAATTCCATTGCAATAACATTTTATGATTTAAAAAAAAATTAATATTATGTGATTTTTGTTTTTAAATGTGTGCAATTAAACTAAATGTTGATCTCATGACCTTGTTTAGCATTTGTTTATTATTATCCTTATTTATTTGTGGTCTACTTTTTCAGCTCCATATATTAGACTGTTATTAGGGGTTCTGCAAAATTCTTTTGAGTTTAAAAGTGTTCTGTGGCCAAATAAAATTGGGAAACACTGCCATAGAGCAATGGGATTGGAAAACCTCCATCATCTTATGTCGCTGACAGCCTTATGCGGCATTGCAAATCCTTCTCAAGCACCCTGTGCTAGCTGTAGAATGGGATAGCTATCACAATGCACTGTTTTTTGTCTACGGCTAAACTACAAAGAAAAGTCGGAAAAAGATACATGCAAAATTTTGGAAAAAACTGCTCTTTTGAGCCCTCTCTCTTTCCTCATAAAACGAGGTTTACAGGGATGGCGAAAAAACACGTCCACTCTTCCGAAATTTTTACCTCTGGTATCCCAGTAAACCGTTGCAGTAGCTGCTAATGTGGACATGCTCCACCATCACAAGAAGCATACTGTGGACACACAATAGCAATTTCCATGTAGCATTCTGTGATCAGTGCTGTAACTTCCAGTGCTTTACATGTGCCAACGTAGACCTAACCTTAGTTTTTGTTTTTTTTGCTAGCTATTCTTCATATTCTTTTTTTGGCCTGCCTAACTATACTTTTACACTTGACTTGCAAAAGTTTATGTTCCTTTCTAATTTCCTCAGTACCGTTTGACTTTCGATTTGCAAAGGGTGCCTTTAACCTCAGTTTATACTCTGCTGTTTAGAAACAGCACTTTTCTGGTGCTTTTGCCGTTTTTTTTAAAATCTACATTTAGTTTGATCCCACTGTGCTGTTTTTAAATAGTTTCCATGAAGCTTGCTGGCATGCTACTCTTATTTGTGTTCCTCTCAAGTTCCATTTAACTAGCTTCCTCATTTTTGTATAGTTCCCTTTTTTTAAATGAAATGCTACAGTGGGAAGTTCCTTTGGTATTTTGCCCCAATATAAGGGTATTAAATTTAATTACATTAGGATAGCTATTATTGAGCATTTTAGAAGTATGCCCATCTTGGACCAAAGTCTATCACTTAAGTAAATGTTGATATAGTCCTGTCCCATTGTGTATTCCAGGACTAACTGCTTCAAGAAAAAATCATGAATAATGCCTAGAAATTTTATCTTTGCATCTCATCCTAAGATGATATGCGTCCAATCAAAATGATGGTGGCTGAAATCCCTCTTTATTATTGGTTTTTTGTTTTTGTAGCCCCCTCTAAACTCCCAAACAATTTCACAATCACCTTCACTGTCCCGTCAGATAGTCAGTAGTATATAGCTAGACTCTTGTTATTCAAGCATGTTTATCCATGGAGATTTTATGGTACTATTTCATTCATTTATGATCTTTACTTTATGTGACTGCTTTCTCTCACATATAGTGCTACTTTTCCCCCACACAAAGACTTATTTTGTCATCCCTATATATTTTACAGCCTGGTATTACTATGTATCATCGTTTACCATTGTTCCATCAAACTTCTGTGATCCCTATTATATCAGTATTCTCATGCAATGCCAGGCACTTAAGTGTATCCATCCTAGTATTTACACTTAGTATTTACACTTCTTGCTTGTGTACACAAGCATTTATAAAATTTTTCAATATTTATTTGACTGCCTTTATGTGATGTAATTGATTGGGATTCCTTTTTGCTTGACAGTTTCTCTTCAGTTTCTAGATGTTGTTTATTGACTTGTATTCTCTCCTCTTTATTAAGATTAAATAATCCCCTTTAATAAATCCACATCTAAGGGATGTCAGCCAAACCATGTGCTCGTCTGCACCTCTCAGCTTTTCTCCAGATCTTAGTTTTAAAACTCCTCTGCTGTATATAGCCCTACAAGTTATGGTTATTGCCTTTTATTTTAACCAAATCATACAAAATGAAAATTATGAACACATCATTTATGGCTAGCAAAAATATATTTAACAAACTAAACCCATTTTAAAGAAGATTATAGTTTAAAAATTTGTATTTTTATTAATCTCATAAAATACATTTAAAGAGTGACCTCCAGACCTGGGATCACCAAATCCTTATAGAGACAAGTGAATCATATGATAAACAGAAAATGAAAGCTTTAAAGCAATATGTAAAACAAGGAAGTAGCTTAACTTCCTGAACAGCAGAAAAGTCTTTTAGATGGATGGAATAACACAGACACTAAACAATAGAGAAATGAAGGGAGAGAACAGAGTAAGGCAAAGATGGGAGCAGTGGAACGGGCCAGCGGGGCAATAGGTAATGAGATCTGAGAGATGAGGTAGGGCAAGTCATGAAGAATTTTTAATCTCACCAAGGCAATCCTGAGTTGGATTTGGAAAAGGTTAGGAAACCAATATAGGCTGTAACACTCATGGGGAGGTGAACCCCTGGCTAAAGGAGACTAGCTCCCAACCCCACGCCTTCTGCCCCTTCTACTCTGCTCCAGAGCCCAGAGTCTCTCCTCAGCACAGCCATCAGCCTATGCCCCACCCCAGGCTAGCCCTCAGGTTGAAGAGGATGGAGAAGTTGGGCAGCTCTCCAGCTTTGGAGCATGGGAAATGTAGGCAACTTGTGGCCACAGCCTCCTCATCTCCAGAGCATGAGGAAGGTAGACAGTGTGCAACCTCAGCTTGCCTGGCCCCAGCTGGAGCACAGGAGGACTGGAGAAGAACACCAGATGAGCTCGGGTCAGGAGGCCTGGATAGGGTAGAGCCATATCTAATTGTTTGGGAAGGCACAGCCTCTCCTAGCCCACATGATCCACTGCCCCTGGTAACAGTGTTACAGTTTCATTTCCTAGATATGACAATTTAACCTTATCTAAGGCTATGTCTATACTGCACCTCTCTTCTACAAAAGCTTCTGCAAATTAAGCGCAGATTACCATATTGCCATGCTTCATTTGCATAATTAATGAGGGGCTGTTTTTGCACAAACCCCCTGTTGTGCAAGAGCTGTTCTTCCTCATTTTTTGAATCCACACTTCATTTGCATAAGCTTTTGCAGAAGCGAGGTGCAGTATAGACATAGCTTAGGAGCTGTGCAAAAGGGATTCCTGAAATTTAACTGCCGTTCTAAAGACAGAAAAATAAAGTACTCACGAAGTTCATCCTTAGAAAACATAAGAAATGTGTTTTCCTCATTGAGGTTTTTATTGAAGTCTATACACAGCTCACTCAATTGTTTCTTCATGGTCTTTATTTCCTAAATTGAATATAAATTGAATTGATCATCAAAAATCAAAATTGTAACTACCTATTGGTGCCTTACATGTAAAAAATATTTTAACTTTCTCTAAGAATTTGTTTTACCCAAAACTTACATGTTAGAAGTATATTTTATTAACTAGGAAGGGTTTGGGCATGTAAATCAGTGGTTCTAAACCATTTTTCATTTGCAGACCTCTAAAAATTTTTGAATGGTGGTACAGCCCCCTTTGGAAATCTACCGATTGTATATATAGCTGAATTCTGTTTGGTCAGTTTTTAATCTATATCTTTTTGTGGACTACTTAAACATAGTCTGTGAACTCCCAGCAGTTCAAGAACCACAGACTAAGAACCACTGATGTTTTTAAATAATGTTCTTAGGTAGTTTTTATGTATTAACACGTAGACTTTTTCAAACCAAAGATAGAGAAACTAAATTTAATTTTAAATAAAATTTGCTGTTGTATTCCAATGGTAATTGTTGTCCTGAAGATAAGTGGTTGATGGCTCCAAAAGGAGCAGAGAGATAACAAAAGCTGTGACAAAAAGCTGTCAAAAAGTTAAAAGAGCTCCTAGATTAGTTTGAAACCTTTAAATACACAGCAGAAAGGAAATAACATCTATGAAAGAGAACAGCATTCCAAAATCTTTTCTTAAAGACAAGAAATTGGATAAGCAAAATATTGTCGATATATCAGGCTGACTTCTAGGGTATTCTTGCTCCTCACTACCAAATTTACTTAAATACAGCTTGCATACATTCTAATTCATTTATTTCTGCTGCTGGTGAGATTTTAACAATAGTCAAGATTTTACTTCACTCTACACCATCAACACAGTCTCCTTACATATAGTTTCTAATTAACTTCCAGAGACATCAGGAACCTTAACATAATACAAATATGCATAACAGAAATTTAAGCTACTGTCAGTTGAAAAACAATTGGGAACAATTATCAGGAAAAGGCAGAAGACCACTTCATGTTCATATGCCTGTGCTGTTAAATAGTGAGACAAGGTGGTTGAGGTAATATCTTTTATTGGCTCAACTTCTCTTGGTTAGAGAGAAAAGCTTTTGAGATTACAAAGAGCTGTTCTTCAATACAGGCAGTCCCCGGGTTACGTACAAGATAGGGACTGTAGGTTTGTTCTTAAGTTGAATCTGTATGTAAGTCGGAACTGGCACCCAGATTCAGCCGCTGCTGAAACTGATCAGTTTCAACAGTGGCTGAATCTGGACACCAGTTCTGACTTACATACAGATTCAACTTAAG